AGAAGAAACTGTGCTTTTTCTTCACGGGTGCACCTGGAGAATGTGTGAAGAAAACACAATAATCAGGACTAAAAATACTGACACTCCCTCCACGGTTTCCAGTGACATCATCAAGGTTTCGGGAGACTGGTGGGGTGCACGCACACACACACACGCACACGCACACACACACACACACACACAGGTACTACACACACAATGTGCTTATTTCTGAGGAGGTTGGGAACACTTGAGGTCAATTGTTAAGAGAAGTGCTTTCACTCAGGAACTTTAATTGTATTATTACTTTTAGGCAATCAGACTAAAAATGGAAATAATCAAATTAAAGAGTCATCCTTTGATGTCATCTCTCTGATACCGTGCCTTTGATATAGAAATGTAGCCAACAGTAGTACATTTAATGCCACAAACTGCCTCACTGCGGTCAGACAATGTGCTGATTTTTTGCCAGAGCCGTATCCCATACCATGAAAGGGGTTTGGATGTGATCCTATCATCATCCATGATGACGTGACATGAAGAAATGTGATGTGGCGTGCTCCTGACTTGAACCTTCCCTTCACCAAGGGTGCACACTGACATCAAGTGGTCAGATGACAACTGTCAGCATTCAAATCACGCTGCGGCTGCCTCGAAGAACAACAGCACAAAATCACACAGGTAGCAGAATTTCTCTGCTCTAGGTCAGTAAAAGAATTGTTTCATCACTCTGTGAGCTTTTTGATTTATAAAGGAAGAAGAAGCCTTTGTATTTGATTAATGCAGCCCCGCTGGGTGGGATCAACATTGCAGACGGAGGTGGAGCATTGCATATTCCTGATAAGGGAATGTGAACCAACAGGCATTTAAAGGGTGCTTTTCCAGTCATACTGACCATCCAAAGCTCGTTTACACTATAGTGAGCAGATCCCAACAGACAATGCAAACAAATAGGTGCAGGTATTTGAATGAAATTTTCCCAGCTCCTGCGTTAAGTAAATGCAGTGAACATACGGCGAGCACTTTGTATCCCAGTGGATGGAACGATGACTACAGCATTTTTTAATCTGGTCACCCTAATTCACCCACACATATAGTACTTTCTGGACCACCTATATATTCAAAGGTTTCTAGAAAGGTGCTGGAAACAATCCCAGCTAAATTTGGGTTAGTCCAGGGGTCCCCAATCCCCAGTACACGAGGGCCGGTGTCCCTGCAGTTTTTAGATGTGTCCTTGATCCATCACAGCTGATTTAAATGGATAAATTACCTTCTCAACATGTCTTAAAGTTCTCCAGAGGCCTGGTAATGAACTAATCATGTGATTCAGGTGTGTTGACTCAAGGTGAGATCTAAAACCTGCAGGGACACCGGCCCTTGTGGACTGAGATTGGGGGCCCCTGGGTTAGTCTGTTACAGGGAGAGCAGAGACATTCCAACTAGGAACCTTCCTGATGTAAGACGTAAGGCGACAACGCTGCAAACTGCACCATCATTACTTCCCCGCATTATTGTTTGTGTTTTTAAATACACAGGAAGTAACTAGAACACCTGCATTAAATTTGCCAGCAGCAGATCACAGTTAAATAGTTTCACAGCTTTGTTTTGTGTCCAAAGATGTGAAGGCACGACACAATTCAAAAACACATGGCTTAAGCCAAATATGTACTGCAGGTCACATGGATGTGTTCCTCTGGACATCGGCTCCACACAGAAGATTCTCAGATTTTTACATTGGTAGCTCAAAGTACAGCACTGCAATAAAGACTTTCGCAATACGACTGTAGTCGCCTAAGATTGTTGTTTATTTTTTATAAATTCATGTTTTATGCAACCTTAAGTGAACACCATTTCCCATAAGCCCTGGGGTGTTAGCGAGACACATGTTTCGAGTGAACAGAAACTCATAGAGGAGCTATGGGGACATGACGTCATGACTTTGGCTCTGTCTTCTCTCTGTTCGCCACTGAGCTCCTCCATCACTCAGAAACGAATCATTAACACTGCAGCTCATCTCCCCAGCCGGCCTCGTATTAAGGTGTCGTGTGGAAACAAAGTTTTCGTGAAGCGTCAAAAGAGGAGCGAAGCAGGAAGATTCATTTCCATATATACATGAACATTACTGTAGATCGGCTTCTCTCAAAATAGGAACGACCTAGACAAAAAAAAAAAAAAAGGAAGACACTTCCTGGGGGAGAGACGAAGAGGAAGACGGGGAATGAAAGGGAAGGAGTGCTGAAGATGAAGACAGAAAGAGGAAATGTTTGAGGCTCCAGTCTTTCTCATTTGAAACCGTCTCTTTACTGCCGGACTCCCGGGTGGCTTCCACGAGCATTTTATGTATAATTTAATGTAATGCGCGGAGATAAAACCTCCAATAAAGGCCGCGCTCTCTAAGCTCTTCACAGCACATTACGTTTTATTCATCAAATTAGTTTTAGTTGGTTTGGTATCCCCTGAGCCGTCTTTAAAAGGTTTAGATGAAAGGACTGCATTAATTTTGCCACTAATCAGTTAAGTGACAGCTCCAAGTGACAGCTCTGCACTCCTTACCCTCAAAAACCTTGCTGCAAACACTCTCGCCATCCATGCTGTCCCCATTTGCTCCTTGCACCGATCCGCCGCGCACATTTCACACTTTCTCCTACATCTTCTAACGTTTCTTTAAATTTGACACCGTGTTATATGATACTAGATTAAAATCAGCTGTGAGATGATTACAGACCGGCCACAAATGTGACCGGGCATGTTTAACGTTAAGGCGTAACGGTTAATGATGAAGCAAAGGGACTTATTCTTCACGGGGAATTGAGCTTTGTGAAACAAATTAGAGCAGAGTGAAGATAATTGGAGCTAATATTTATAATTCTCCAGGTAGACATTTTCGTTTGTTAATGACCGACTAAACCCCACAAAGAGTAGCTTAATGTAGTGTCAGGAAGCTTTCGTGGTTATGATTCAGAGCCACGACACTCTAAACTTCTGCATTTAACCCTGAAGTCAGCAAACTAGTTTAGGGACTAAAATGACCGTCATAATCCCATTCAATTTTGTACAGTAAAAGCTTTTTTCTTTAATTAACACCGCTGTTTGCTCAGTTTAAATACCAATGTGAAATTCCTGCAAACATTTGTAGGCATACAGGACATTTCTCGAGCTCCCCCTTTTCTTTTTATTTTGCTTCCTAGGACCAAGACAAGGAGTCATTTTTAAAATGGTCTTGAGCAATAGTTCTTCTGTTTTTTCAGTTACTCTATGGACATTAGCTGCTTATTCTCCCATTTTCAGTCCAGTCCTTGCATCTGACAATTTTCAGAGGTTTTATTTGATCTTTTTTCTCTGAACTAACCCAAACAAATCAGACAACTTAGCAAAAAACGATTTCAAATTGCATCCTTGGGCATTCGTTAATAGCAAAAAGCTACTTTGGCTGATCTGTTATTCACAAAGGCTCACCACAGCAGGTAGCTCCGTATGTATGATTTGGCAAATTTGTTTTACATGAAATGGCCTTGTTAATATTAGATTCAAGGTCTTTCACTCGTTAGGCAAACGTGTAAACCACTAACCAACAGAACCACTACTTTATGTTTTAATTTCTAATTTAGCTGAATCGATAAAAAAAGAAAACTGGGCAAGTGGAGGACAAAGGAAGAAGTTTCAGGCCTAAGAAACTATCTATAGCACACAGTATCGTAGAGTCATGTCCTTAAGAAACAGGAAGCAACGGTTCACAGAAGCCTAATCAGGAATGGTCTCAGCAGAATTTACAGCTGTCATTCCTAAGGAAGGGAAAGAGGAAGGAAAGGCTGAGGAATGCCAAATGACACAAGAACTGGACTGAAAGCCAGTAACAACAGGTCTGATGGAGAGATAAAGCCAAATTTGACATTTTCGGTTCAAATCATAGTAGGCATGTACAGAGAGCCATCTGTAAAACATGGTCTGTCGTGGTTTGGGTTGTGTTTCAGATCAATCTTGTCAAAACTGATGAAATTACAACAGCTGAAAAGTATGATTTGATTTTGATCCACCATAGCACTGTTGCCTCATAGCAAGAAGGTCCTGAGTTCAATTCCACTATCAGGCCGAGGTCTTTCTGTGTGCAGTTTGCATGTTCTCCCCGTGTTTGCGTGGGTTCTCTCCAGAAACTCCGGCTTCCTCCCACAGTCCAAAGACAAGCACTTAGTGGGGATAGGCTAATTGGAAACCCTAAATTGCCCATAGGTGTGAATGTGAGTGCAAATGGTTGTCTGTGTCTATGTGTTAGCCATGCAACAGACTGGTGACCTGTCCAGTATGTACCCCGACTCTCGCCCTAAGACAGCTGGGATAGGCTCCAGCGCCCCCCAAGACCCTGAAAAGGATAATCGGAAGCAAATGGATGGACAGATAACATCATCTGCAAAACATCTGATTGGCAACAGCTTAATTTTTAGCATGAAAATGATCTTAAACACACTACCAATGCAGTAAGACATACCTGAATAGAAAAAACACACAATGGAGCACTAACAGTCATGGACTGGCCTCCACAGAGCCTAGACCTCAACATTGTTTTAGCAGTGTGGAATCACCATGATAGAGAAAAAAAACAAAAGGCAGCCAACATCCAAAAAGGAGCTTTGATTGTCCTTTAAGAAGCCTACCTAAAAGAAGACTACCTAAAGAAATGACAAAAAAGCTGAATAACAAGGTTCAGTCTGTGTTGACGAATAAAAGTCAGACTAAATATTGACTTTCAAGCTTGGCAGGATAGTACAAACACTGTCTTTGCCTTATGTAAAGTATTTCCATGTATGTTTGCACATTTCAATTAATTCCTGCACCTAATTTAAGTTTTCCAGAAAAATGCAAAGAAATGCACAGGACTGTAGATGATAAGCATTAGTAATCAACTGACAGTCGTATTGTTTTTGAATGTCATTTTTACAGTCCACTAACCCTACTCAGTGACTCGAATCTTAAAGCTTAAAGCTTAGAAGGCACGTTTTACTGTTGGACAAAATGAGCGGACTTACTCCAGCAGGGAGCGCTTTGGGAAGCTGAAGGTGCCGTGGGAGATGCGGTCCACAAAGTTAAGCGGGATCCTCTGCATCTGGTCACAGTTGAACATCATGAAGTCGTACTTGAAGACCAGGAGAGAGAATTCTGTGATGAGAACAATGCGCTCCTTTTCATTGTTCCAGTGATCCACTCTGAAACAACCAAACAGTGTGTGAGCAAGAACAAAAAGAAAAACAGAACAGAAAAAAGCAGGTTTTTAAATGTTAAATAAAAAAAATATTTCAGCTTCAGTATTCAAATATTACAATGTCAGCACTCAAACCGCTTCCAACAAAAGGTATTCTTAAGTTATTTTGCTTTCACTGACTTGTCACAGTCTTCTTCAAGTAAACTAACTTGTTTATTCACCTGCTATAAAGATGGATTAGCAGCATTGTGGTATTAGGAAACAGCATCAGCAACAAGAAAATCAACCTCACTCATTTATTACTTCACTAAAAACCTTTCAGACACTGTGCAAACGAGCTGGCCCCAGTGTTTTCTGGCATTTTCAACTCTTCACTGCAGGCATGTCATGTGCCTGCCTGCTTCAAGTCCTCTACCATAATCCCTGTCCCCAAGAAACCTAGGATCACTGGACTAAATGACTACAGACCCGTGGCTCTGACATCTGTGGTCATGAAGTCATTTGAGCGCCTGGTTCTCTCCTATCTCAAGACCCTCACGGCCCCCCTCCTGGACCCCCTGCAGTTTGCATACAGAGCCAACAGGTCTGTAGACGACGCCATCAACATGGCCCTACACTTCATCCTGCAGCATCTGGACTCCCCCGGAACCTACGCCAGGATCCTGTTTGTGGACTTCAGCTCTGCCTTCAACACCATCCTTCCAGACCATCTCCAAGGCAAGCTTTCCCAGATGAATGTGCCTGATCCCATCTGCCGGTGGATCACTGACTTCCTGACGGACAGGAAGCAGCATGTGAGGCTGGGAAAGAATGTCTCGGACTCCCGGACCATCAGCACCGGCTCCCCTCAGGGCTGTGTTCTTTCTCCTCTGCTCTTCTCCCTGTATACCAACTGCTGCACCTCCACCCACCAGTCTGTTAAGCTAATCAAGTTTGCAGATGACACCACCGTTATTGGGCTCATCTCGGACGGGGACGAGTCTGCCTACAGGAGGGAGGTTGAACGTCTGGTGTCCTGGTGCAGCCACAACAACCTGGTGCTGAATGCCCAGAAGACAGTGGAGATTATTGTGGACTTCAGGAAGCACACAGCCCCACTCCCCCCCATCATCCTGACTGACACCCCCATCACCTCTGTGGACTCATTCCGCTTCCTGGGTACCACCATCACCCAGGACCTGAAGTGGGAGCCCACCATCACCTCCGTCATCAAGAAAGCCCAGCAGAGGATGTACTTCCTGAGGCAGCTGAAGAAATTCAACCTGCCAACACGGACGATGATGCAGTTCTACACTGCAATCATCAAGTCCATCCTCACCTCCTCCATCACCGTGTGGTACGCTGGAGCCACTATCAGGGACAAACAGAGACTGCAGCGTGTTGTGCGCTCTGCTGAGAAGGTGATTGGCTGCAGACTCCCATCTCTGCAGGACCTGTACACCTCCAGAACATTGCGGCGTGCAGCTCGGATCTCAGCTGACCCTTCTCACCCTGGACACAGTCTGTTTGACCTGCTCCCCTCAGGCAGGAGGCTCCGGTCCATTCGCACCAGAACCTCTCGCCATAAGAACAGTTTCTTCCCCTCTGCTGTTGGACACCATATGACTGTTCCCACCACTAACACATGACCCTACGCTGTGTCACTGCATCATTCCATGTTTGGCACTGATCACCACCTGCACTCATGTATATATCATGTATGTATCTATCTACTTAGCACTTTTAATTCTTATTCTCATGTATATAGCTCATGTATATCTCATGCACATATCTTTCTACGGAGCACTTTTAATTCTTATTTTTATATTTTTATGACACTATGTTTGCACTGAAGCACCGCAGCAATTTCCTAATGTTGTAAACCTGCTCAACATTTGGCAATAAACCCCTTTCTGATTCTGATTCTGATTCAAAACAAAACACTTAATGAAATGTTTTACATTTTTCATCAGCAAGTTTAAAAAATAAGCAAAAATAGCCAAAAATGATTGGAATTCTGGAGGTCATATAAAGTTAACACACACGCACACATATTGTAGAGCTGCTCAATTATGTACTCTTACAGTTCACGAAGTAAAATAAAAATGCCCTGGGCAAAGATCATACAATATGGATGTAAGCATTTCTGAAGCCCTACAGAAATACTGGAAAAATGGGCTTTCTTTTATGCCCTCAAAATGTCTCCAAAAATGTTTGCAGTACTAATTGAAATCACAAAAAACCCATCATTAAACACACATTCATCCACACACTCCATCCCTCACCGCTGTGCGAACAGCTAATTCGTGGTGGCATGGATTCTCTTGGAGAAGCTCCCTTTCTTACAGCCCACTGAGCTGGGCGCACTTGGTCACCTCAGAGTGAAACACTCCTGATTGCTGCTGGCATCCGTAAGCCAGAGAAGACAGTTCACTGAACAGTCAAAGCTTTATAGAAAGGTGTGGGTGAAGAGCTGTGACTGTGCTGATGAAATGAGTTAACCTTGACTGGGCACGGGGCAGCAAGCATGCTACAGATGTGATGCACACTGTGGGTGGGCTGACATGCTGTTAAGCACTCGAGCCTGACAAAACAAACTGTTGGTCAGGACAGAAACCGACAGGAAGTACCTCTGCAGGACCCTGCACACTGTTTGGTAGGGTACATTTTGAAAAATTGTTTGTTTTCTTTCCGCTAGCTTTTGCTACAGCTAGCAGACTGTTAGCATAGCTTAAAATCTCAAAGGAGTTGGTGAGAGGCCGCTGATCAATGAGCTCAACTGCGTTGCTTAAAACTGAGATAAATATCTATCTATCATTACCACAATTCACACAATTTCCCAGACATGCCTTTATCTCTGGTTGCCACATTGCTGCCGCCCCTTTAGAAATATGGTTGCATGCAACTCTAAGCTAAATATGAAGGCACAGTGGCTTCTAAATGGCTTGGCTTGTCATGAAGATTGTAAAAAGACACAAGTCTATCCTGAGACAATGAGATCTATGTATGCTAAAAGTAAAGCCAGCTAGAAAACAGGACAGACCAGGTTTTATCTCTGGACAATCAAAAGAAGCATTTAATTGCCCAGATTTACCCAAAGTATGTAAAGTATGTCTTTAAGTAACTTAAAGAATCTTCCGGGGCTTTTCTGAAAATTAACTGATGGAAAATAGTGTAACTAACATTATTTCTCTCATTTTTCCTACATAAAAAACACCACCTAGTGTATTTTTAAAAGATGGCCCTATTATAAGAAATGTACAGCAATTGAGACGGCTTTTTGTAAAGCAAGTGACAACCTTCAGCTAAGCCAAATTTGAGGAATTTCTCATGCTTTGCTGACATAAGTCTTCGGCCTCCCTTGGGGCAAATTCTGCAGCAGAGTCGCAAAATTACCACATGATGCACTCTTTCTGTTGCTTGAAGTCCTACGCTGGCTTCTATGGCCATGATAACAGCGGGCCAAATGTAGGACAGGCGTTAACGTGCATGTGTGTGTGTGTGTGTATGTACCCAGAACCGCATAAACTGGGATGCATTATTCATTCTCACATGGCCAGCCTTTTAAATGTTTCCTGAAAGCTTGTGCAGGAGTGATGCAACCTGACATCACATGGAGTGCACTTTGTAAATGTCTTGCAGTCACTTTGTGTTGCTCTGTGTTCAATCACTATCTCTGCTTGAGATTAAGAGGTATTCGAGGAGGTTTTTTTTTTCTTGGCTTTGATGAGAACAGAAACATTTGGAAATATAGCAAAAATAAAATATCAGCTGTCTTTCCATTTTATCCTGCGGATGCACACAAACTCCAAAATTCACACACACATTCATACAAACACTTTTTCCTACGTCTAAGTGTTTTAGATGTAAAAACCCCACACATTCACATTCTGATGAGCGCATTAGGAGCAACTCGGGGTTCAGTATCTCGCCTGAGGCTACTTTGGCATGCAGATTGGAGGAGCCGGGGATCAAACCACCATCCTTCAATCCCGCATTACTTCCTGAGCCACAGCCACCTATTAGCTGATCAACCTGCATGTGGCGAGACAGGAAAGGCTAGCGAATTAGCAGCAACTGAACTTTCAAAATAAGTGCAAATGGACTATCCACTAGTAAATCGATCACATCGTTCTCTCAAAGACATGAAAAACTTACAGTAACTGGAATACACCTGTGTTCAAGTTTGAGTTAGCTAGGTCAGGACAGAACAGAATATGATTTGAATGAATTCATATGAATGAACACATTATGAAATTGCTCATTTATTCTAGTGGTTTTCAGTATAACAGAACATGATCTCATGAACTCACTCTGCCATCAGCCAAACGCTGAGAACGCTGCCATCTACCTCCTCATTCACCAGAGCTTCAACGTCTTTGATGGCCTGATTCAGAGTGCCAGGCTGAGGAGACAGAAATGCACGGGTGTCACTTTCTAATTTTCCATTGTGACAATCACAACGTGTGCACAGAAAGCTTAAGGGGTAATCTTTGAGGCAGATGTGCAGCTGGGACTAGTAAAATGTCAGCGTGTGTGCGTGTCAAACGAAATCACAATAAACACAAGCATGAAGCCCGGGCGTGTGAAAATGTCTGCGAACGAAGAGAGCCGAGCGTGTAGAAATGTGAGTAAGTCAGGTATTTGAACACACGAGGGAACACTCCAGCGCAGAACACACTGTCATCTGTGAGCATTTCTGGTTTTGAATGCTCTGCCAGTCTTGCACTTTATGTTTTATTATTTCAATGCCAAGCTGGAGCGAGTGAAAAGATTAGGAGTTCATATTGAGGTGCTCTTGACAGTCATTCTGTAATCTGAGGATGGTGCTGAGCTGGCCTGGCAACATGGCAGGTATGACTGATTTCCCATCAAAATCCAAAACAACAGGCCTCCAATGAACAGAATCTTAGCGATGCTGATAACGTTCAGCTTGTTGTTGGTACTTTTTTTTTTAAGTAAAAAAAGGTATTCCAACCTATATACTCATTTTTTTCTAACATAAACTCGCCTTTATTATGTTTGGTGCTATACAGATTACTTACATGGTTCTGTTGAAACCTTTGCACACTTTATACTTTATCGTTACTTAAAAAATAAAGTTTTTAATGACGTTACCCAGGTGTGTGGTCCACTCTGGGCTGATGAGTTTAAGCCACAGACAGGAAACAGCTTAGGCATGTTTCAACCACAAGTTAAGTGCGGGACTAAAACCAGGAAGAAGCTTGCTCCTTCAAGCCAGATGAGCTACTTTCTCATATGGAGTCCTATGAAATGACAAATTATATGTTGTGTCTCTTAAATATAGTAAATAAAGAAGATAGTGTATTAAAAAAATGAAAGTATTCTAAATAAAAGTCTAACCCAGGCGTCAGTGCGCTTACAGAAATGTGTGACATATTACTGGGAGCACTTTGCGTCAAGAGGAAACGCTGATGATATTTTACCCTTAACACGAAAAACTTCCTTAGTTTAAACTGGTCCAGGGTGGGCTCCACCAGTAGGTGACGGCCCTGGGTCGAGGTGGCCACGCTCTCCGCTGGCCGCTCCTGCGCGTCCCCTTTGCGGCCAGCAGCTGTCCGAGAGTCCTCCGGAGGGGTCGGAGAGGAGCTGAGATCAACCTCCTCCTCCGCCTGCTGCTGCTGCTCTTCACTTCCTTTAACTACTTCATCCTCCGCGTCTGCCATGATGAGGCTTCACAACTCTTCTGTTAAAAGAAGTCAGAATACTGATGTGTCTGGATCTGATTCTGTCGGCGCCTTCCCAGCGACGGGTTCCTGCACGCAGTTTTTCCGAATCGATACTTAAGTCGAGTTATTCTTAGAAGCTGGTAATACAGGTTTCTTACCTTAGATTATAGAAAGCGCAGTACGTGTGGAAAGGTACTGTAAGGCAGGAGCAACAGGTGCACGACTTCCTTGTTCCGGGCCCAGTGTTTGTTTTGAATGGCGGCGGACAGCAGCGCTCACGTTTGCGCACATCCGATTTATACAGACGGCGCATGGTCTGCGCTTCTGACAGCAGCTCACTGGAAAGTCAAATTCATCTTATAATTTATAACTGCAGTGCACAGAATGACCAGTGGAAATCAGATGGAAGTTCATTATCCGCAATAATATGTGTGATATTACTGGATCAAAGTTATGGCTCACTCATTATATATAATTTTATCCTCTGCAGATGCTTTAAATTGCTAATATACAGCTAGGTAGCTTTATTTTTTATAATATAGCATTATAAAACAGTCTATTTATATTTTAAAATCTGAAAACTTTTAAAATATAAATATACTGTGATTAAATAACCAACTATTTTTAAATAAGCAATATTAATATTAAATAAGTCTAAATACAGCTGTACTGGTTGTTCCACGCACTCATCCATCCAAAGATTAACAGTAGTCAACAAACTCAGTGGCATTAGTGGGACTGGTGTCACCCCATGTGTCCCCCCTGGACACGCCCCTGTTGTTGTGACTCCGACTGACTTCACTTACAATTTGCATGGACAGATTTAATTAAGGAGTCCATAGAGCAAATATTTTGGCACCCCATTCACTTAGCTTGTTGTGCTCCCTGGAGTGAGGCAGCATAACTGACATGAAAATTATATTGATGTAATTTTTCTGAAGAAAACGTTGTCCTCCTCAGTGCATCACCATAAATTACATGGTACTGTCTGCTGCTTGGTTTGTGAAATAGACCCAGCTTTTAAACAGCTGGTTTGAGTTTCGGACCAGTCTGATATATACTGATTCTTGTCCATCTACACAAAATGAAATGTTTTCAGCTTTAAATGGTGTAAAAAATACATGTTTCAAAACTGAAGAGGCTGGCTTTGGCTTTAAAACCTCAGCAGCTCAATTTTCTTGGTTGCTAGGGTGATGTATCGGCATTGCAGCCTCGTGTACTGTACCTGCCTTTCCAGTTGTGCCAACTGTTATGAAAAAATGGGACAGTTTGTGTTCCTGAACATGAATAACTTTTCGTGACTAATTTATTTGCCGTGAGAATGGGCTGAAATGTAACATAATATTGAAAAATGATACTAATGTGCACTGAAAGCTTTAGTTCTAATTAGAGAT